AAAAAAAAAAAATACTTCTAGATGACTAATTAATGAAGTAGGTTAAAGACTTTGCATGTTAAAAAAAAAAAACAAAAAAACTTTATACTTACATGTTTTGGAAATTTCTTGAATCTTAATTTTTGTTTGTATTCTTGACATTTCTCTTGGGCTGATAAATCAATGTAAATTGCTGCAGGCCTCCTTTGATTTGATTTAGTCTTGATTTTCTCCATTAAGAATGGGTGTACTCTCTAAAGAAAATTCAAATGTTCAGTATACCAAAAAAATTGAAGTACAATTAATTTTGATGATAATTCACATACTTTGATGTGGCTGAGAAAATTTCCTGTGGACTTGAGATTGCCATTAAGAAGCTTATTGCATTGCAAACAACGTGCAGTTACGTTTGAATCCTCAAGTTTCACGACGCTAAAGAACTCTCCATCCAGAATAGCAGGTAGTCTTACTGGTGTCAATGTCACATTTCGTTCAGAATTTTGTATGATTGAAGTACTTTGGTCTTGTTCATTTACACTTTCTTCTTGATTTTGATCACCCTCTAGGGTATTCATATCATGAACGGTTACTTCACTAGCAGATTGTTCAATGTGCTGTTGTGTATTGTTGCCATCAATCATACATGTATCGAAGTTTTCAATTTTGCCCTCATATCTCTGTGTGGCAAAAGTTTCCATATTTTCTTCACTGGTCACACAATCATAGAAAAAAAAAAAAGATATTTCTTTCGTTTCTCAGTAAAAATAAATCGGTTTAGTATGCTTTCAACAGATTATCCCTTAAAAAAAGGCAAAATAGTTTTAAAATTTGACTTTTCAAGTTTATAGCTTCACAAACGTTTATCTAGGTAATTCGCCTGGCAGTAGAGATCTTCAAGATAAGCTCCTCTAACCAGATAAGAGAGAACATGCACATACAGGGATACAGGTCAAGCATACACGCACACACATACACACCTATATGTAAAGTATTAAGCATAAGCTCGCATTGCTCGCAATTGTAAGCTTGTCTATATATATAGACTATATTATATAGTAGATAATAGATGAAGGAATAGCTTAATTTTTTAAAATATACAATTGTCAGATGAATCGACGAAGCAACTTTGAATTTTGAAAAAACGTGTAGGGGTAAGTGTACCTATCTCCGTGGCACTTACTGAAAATTCCAATTTAAATGCACCATAAAAAATGGTATACTAAAATTTTTTGGAATATTTTATTTTAAAACTTACATAATCTCTTACGGAATATTTACAAAAATTTCATGAAGCTAAAACTGCAGTAGAATATTTTTAAAACGAATAAAAACGGTATTACCGTGGTTGTGTACCTATTACCGTGTACGTATTACCGCGGATGTATATAGGGTTATGTTTACGTACGCTCACCGCGGAAATACGTACACAATCAGTTAATGAGCGCGTTGTACCGAATACCGTGGAAAATAATTATTTTCTCAAAATATACACAAATATTTCTGTTTGAATTGCATCTACATTAACGTCATTTTAGATTATAAAAATTGAAAAATTATTTTATATGAAACATTTCTTATTTTGAGCAAGTAGGGGTACCCTATCTGTCCCAATTATGGACCCTTTAAGAAAAATTTCGAGCTCAACTTTATTTTGTGTCTAACGGTCAATAGAAATACACCTTGTATAATAACGTATAAGTAGTTTGATTCTTTTTTAACATCAAATTTTTTTTTTATCAAAAAGTTTTGTTATTTTTACTTTAATGATGAAACAAGAAAAAAAAATTTTGTCCGTATTACGGACCCCCTCAATGGGCTTTGAACCTATCGTGGACCCCCCTATTACGGACCCTGCCCATAATGTGGACTCCCCAATTATGGACCCTGTCCATAATGTAAAAAAATATTTGTATGTAATCAAATAAACATTTGAGATTCATTTATAAGTACTTCTCACACTTTTAACAGAATAAATGACTAGGCACTTTTTGAGATAAGTTTTTAAGAACAAACTTTTATACAAAACTAATTTTGTGATAATTACTATTACTTTTTTTTATTATAATAATCTTATATTTTTTATGACTTTGTTATGNCAAATATTTTATTTCTTTTATTTGCAGGATTTTTCATCCCCATTGATTCCCGTTAAAAATTTTAAAATTATATTTTAGTATTGGTAAAGTAAAAAAACATATACGCGCTCGGTTAATGATTGTTGATCAAAGTGACCATGCACACCTTTTATTTAATTGTACTATTTTTCTTTTTTACTCGCATTTGTTTTGTTTTCAGAAAAGAAACGAGTTAATCGGTATAGTAGTTGTTCGAATCGTAATAGAAGAAGATAAAAAAAATAAAATAAATTGTGAGAACTAGTCAATAACACGATCCAGAAATGTGTGATGAAAATATTACGAAATAAGTCTCGATGAGGAACCAAAAAAGGGGCTACGTGACCTTGCGCGTTCGCCACGCGTAATAATGTAATCGTTTGCCATGCAATTATGGTACATACAAGTGAGCTTGATACTCCACTTGTATGTACTATATTTCCGTAAATATATATTATGTATTATGTATCGACTGTATAGTGTATCTTATTCGTAAATCCATTTACGTATCCATTAGCTCATTTTACAAAAAGATTGTAAACTTAGGGTGAGATTACATGGAGTCTGGCAGTCTGCAGACTGGCAGAATCGCACTAAGTTTAAAATATGTTTCAATACTAATATTTAAAACCTGTTACGTAAGCAAAGAAATAATTATCGTAATACATTTGCATTTCTGTATTAACTGATATTTATGAAAAAAAAGGCGACGAAAAACGTTTTGTCACAGTTACATATTGTTAAACATACCAGGTTACATCAGTGACCCTACTGACCGACTGTGCGATGTTAACATAAATCTATAAAAAAAGTTATAAAATAATATTTTACACGTTTTATTGTAATTGAAGTTGATTGTAACTAAGCCTTTATTCTTTTCTGACAATAATTACAATTTTTCCTTTATTTTACTAAATTATTCTGAGATGTTATAATTTAAACATAATTTAAACTTAGCGCGATTCTGCCAGTCTGCAGACTGCCAGACTCCATGTAATCTCACCCTAAAGAGGTACATTTGCTCTTTTAACCCGGTGTTTTACAAAATAAACTGTAAGCTTATTTTTATTTACTTACATGCAGCAGTCACCCAGTTTTTAGTTGAATTTTTATTAGAAGTCAGCTTGTTCTATCTCATCGGAAATTTCCATGTAGTGTGGGTGAGTATTAAATTTATTCAACTATTTCTATCCAGTATAAAATTTTAGGTTAAGTAAACGTTTAGCACACAAAATGCCATGCAGATCATCCTCGGTTCAGATTTGTAAAGTATATACTATGTTACCGCCTGCGTAAAGTAAAACTACGACGTACCTATATAGATTTACTGTTGTTACCAAATTCTCAGTTTTACTAACACGTTTTTAGTCTGTAAATTACAGATTTCACACAGCTTCCTGCTCTGTCTCTGTAAAGGTGTATAGTATAACTACGTTTAATTGTTTTTGCCAGTTTATTCATAAATAGTAAATAAAAGACTTTTAATTAATTTAAGTGACGAGTTATAATTGGTTGTTGCCACTTGTTGGAGTTAATGTGCCGCCACTTAACGACAACAGACCCAATCTACGCACAATATACCAACAATATTTGCGTATAGTACGCAAAATAGTCGATTGTTTTTAGTTTTTGTTTCGTTGTTAATTTTTCCTTGCACAGATTTTTTTTAATTTTATTGGGAACAAAAAATTTACAAAAACCCCTTGAATTAACAATCACTTTAGTGCAATGTTTGCCCGCCAATTTCAAATCCCAAAACATGAAAATTATTTTGGAGCCACACAAGGAACTCACTCCTTCGCTCCATAATCCATGCAGTTTGAACTGAATACGGAACAAAGCATCATACTAAAGTGAGTCAAAATTTATTACTTGCACATTTATCATGAGATGAAATTGAAACAATGATAATTTTCATTATATTACGAAAATAAAGTACACGACATGCAAGAAGTTTTATGTATCAAAAAAGTTAATCATGCATCTCCAGTTGAAATATATAATGAAACTTTTGTTTAAATAATACATTTATCGCACGCTAATCAAGGTGGAACTAGTGAAATTATATTAGCTCCCGCAACTATGGAACATTTAATATTTCGTATCCATCCAAAGCTTCAATGACTCATTCTTACTTGTGGTCCTTGTGGAAATTCTCTCCGTGTAGGTTCTGAGACATTTGCAGATGAAAACTTTGCAAATTAACGTGGCGCTGGAACAAATAAATATTTTTTTAGGTGCTAGATTATATTAAAGTATATACAACTGTTTCTAATTAGTTCGATTTCTCGCCGTATCAGCAAGCAGCAAGACCGGTATTTTTTAATAATTCATTATGAATGATCGAGCATTGTACCTGCAAGTTGAAGCCGTCATAAATTCGACTCGAATTTTTATTTTTTTTATTTTACGTTGTCGCCTCAAACCTATAGCAACACTGGTGCTTTTAACAGTCTGGATTATTAAAAAATGAGTCTCTGTGAATACTAAACTGAGTTAACAAAGCGCTTATAAGCAAATCAATAATAAATCTCTGACTATATATATATTATACAGCTGTTTACGCTAATCAATTGTTTTCTCTCTTCAAATGCGGATTCCAAATAATGTTTAACATTTAGTAAGGGTAACCAAACACATTTAAAACATTGTCGAGAGTTTCTCTATATATATATTGTCGTCTCGTAAAACTAGATTTACTGTAAATAAATGGTAACAGATTGTAGTAGGTGGCTAATTAGGTATGGAAACAATAAAATAATTAATTTATAAAATCTTTCCGTTTTCTATGGTTGAAAATAATAGTGTATGCCTTGGATATTTTTGTAAGTGATGAATATCTAGCAAAAATTATAAATACTGTTACTATAGTCTATGAGTTTGCACTACGTATTTATTACATACACTCGTGAGAAAATTTTAAATTTTGTTAAGTTCACGTGAAAAATAAAATCATTTTCATCGAATGTGTTTTGGAGCATAGATTTTTTTATTCATCCACATCAGAAGTGTTGGATAATCGTGTGAAGTATACATACATATTTTCAACACCAAGGATTTTAACACAAGAAAAATTTTCAAGTGTGTAAATAAATTAGTTCTTCATTATTTTGACAAGATTTTTATGAATTAAACGTGCGTTTTTAACTTTTTAAAATGACAAACTAGATAGGTTACATTACAGTAAACTATATTTAAAAAATATACATGTTTCGTTGATTTCATCGTTTTAAAGCACTTTTTCTAATCCTATGTCACAAACATGAAGGTACATTTTTCAAATATTTATAAATTTGTAAATTTCGATAATTTTGGAAATGTTTATAACTAATGTGCCATTTGGATGGCGTTGGTTCAGATTTTCTCGTGAGTCAGAACAGTTTGCGCGTGCAGCCCAAATCGCCATCAGTTCTACAAAGAGCGATATATCACCCATGCGCACCGATAAGACGGCATTGAAAGTGGATAACTTCAACTAAACCTACAGACTTTCCCTTAGAACGTAGGTTTTTCAGCGAATAGAAAAATAAGCTGATTCGTGCATTGTGGCTTCTTTCAGAATCATTATAGTCCCATTAAACACTTCTTATGATTTTTCTTGGTGACACCACCTATACTGCGATTTTCTAACACCGTAGGTATTTGAGGGCAAGGGTACGCTTTTTGTTCCCACTAACGTCAAATCATAATTGACTTATAATCGCACACTCGGTGAAAGCGTAAGTGAATAAATATGCGAGTCGAGGGCCCAGGAACACATAGTCTGAGTTTACCAACCACAAGTAGTGCATCAGTTAGGAAAACCTCTGGTAGTTTAGTGCCATTACTCGCTGAATTTTCATTTGTCGTGTTTGAATATAATAAGAGTAAAAATCAAGCGAAATGCCTAGCGTTAACGTGAAAATAAACGCCTGTGACTCCAAAACGTTACAAAAAAGAAGTAAGCGTCCTTATTTTATAATTGTAAATTTTGTTAAACAGTTCGAGTCGTATCTGTGCAAACTGATCCCCTAAACGCGAATCCACGCTTGCCCAAATTTTTTTCCGGTAGATTTGCTTCCCCAATTTTCCCCGGTAGATTTGTTTTTAAGGGACCATTTTGCATATTAGATCACGCAAAAACTCGAGTATGAATATTTTGTTCAACGGATTCGCAGTTCGATTTAGTCTAAAATCCAAGAGTTCAAAAAATAAACGCATTAGTGTTAACGTATTATTCTCTTGTGATCTACAGGAAAACCTTTTACTTACTGCAGATTATTGCACTTTTTATTGTTCAAGTTTTTGTTAAATTTTTAAAGTTAATTAAAATTTAACGTATTATTCTCTTGTGTTCTACAGGAAATAGAACGGCGATAACCTGTCAGCAAAAAAGTATTCTGCAACGAGAGTTTGCAAAATCAAATTATTTGTCACCAACGGCTCGTCACGATTTAGCAAAAAAATTGGGTTTGACGGAGCCCGAGATAACGACGTGGTACCAAAACCGTCGATATTTGTTAAAAAAGGCAAGCAAAAAGGACTCGGAGTTGGATGCGCATCCGGTGCTTTTGCCCCAAAAACAACCTGCACCAAGCTCGCTCGAAAAGCAACAAACATCGCAACAACAGCAGTACAACCCGATCGAGTTGCAACAAGAGAATCCGGACACGGCCAATTTAGCAACACATGGTTACCACATTGCTTATAATTTGCCAACCGATTCCTCAAACACGAGCAATAGCTGGGCAAGGTAAATACATATTCAACAAAAATATTTTCGATCGGATAAAAATTAATGGTACATATGTCATTATATTTATGGTGAATAATTTGTGCCATTATTTATGTTTTAGTAATAGCTCTAACGAAGATAGAGTTAATAATCAGAACGGAACGTGTGCGCCAGTGCTAAATCAACAGATACTCCAAGAAACAAACGATCTGCTGGATGACATTAATGAGATAATCATGAGGGAGTGCAATAATTTAAATTTATATTGGTAGTGTTATTTTTATCGCTCTTAAAAGTGTTTAGAGAATCAAACTGTTACTTTTTGACCGAGTGTAGTGTAACTAAATAACGACAAAGTACTTAAGGACTAAATTTAGCAGTAGAATAAGGCAGTAGTTTAATGAATTGATTTAATGGAATTTCTTAAGGTGTTTTTTTTAGTGATTTACTTATAAATATATTAGCGTAGTCGGTAAAATATATTAATGTAAGCGTAGAGATACAACTGTAGAAACGTATATCATCGATATGATTACATTGATTACTGAGGATACGAAAATTTGTATAAACTTTTTGTAAGAATGTGTATGTACAAAGTTATTATTTTAATTAAAATATATTTTTACGCAAACAAAAGTTTATCCAGTTTTATTACAAGTAAAGAAACTGGTTGCCACCCTAGAACTTCTTGTTCTTTTTTTACTTTTATTTCAAATATATTTCAAATTTCAATGAAGAGCCATTATTGGTAAATTAGTTCTGTAAACAATGAACGTTGTAAAACTATATTTGACTAACACATATTCTATTACTAAAAAATAAATAAAATTCTGTTTCTAAAAAATAACTCTTATACTACTGTCTTTCTACTATACTTATAAATTCAAAGCTTTTACTCAAGAAATTTAGACACACCTGAGGCTTAAACACAGATAAAAAAGATAAGCCACCAACAAATGTAAACGGTGATGAACTTCAACGCTGGCTTATCGCATTGCACTTACCTTTTGTATATAATTTATACGTTTGCTCAGTTGTAAGCATACTTTTCAGTTAAAAGAAATAAAAATATACTTAAATTATATTAGTATTTTTCTAAGTTTCTTGTAAATAAAATTATAAAAAATACAACATTAGAGGATCACCGAAGCATTAGTTAACATTTGATATTCAATGACTTTAGAATATTTTTTGGAAAAGGTATTTTTTTTACTTTCATGATTGTTAATGCAAATAATATCCAATTACTTATTCGTTTTATAAATTGTATCTAAAACTACAAATTTATTAACGTCAATTATCTAATGGACATGCAGTTATATCCTCTTATACTTCAAATAGATATTCGATCGAGTTATTTTCTAACCTCCAATTAACTCAATTAATATGAATCACATAATTTATATTTTCTTTTTGACATGTTTTTGTGTATATACATATTCACATACATATAAAACTGCTGCAATAGCAAGCTCACACTTTTCAACTTGTTTTAATCCAATGAAAATGTATTGATAACTTGATTTTTAGTTGTTATATTCAGGAAAAATAAAATGAAAGTTCAAAGTGTATTTGTTCCTGTTTCATTAGAATTTTTTAAAATTATCATAACATGCATGAAAAAAAAAATTAACTTTAGCTTTTGAAATACAGTTTATTAGTATTACATTAAAACTCACACATGTTCCAATACTATAATAATACTTGAACAAATATAATATTTTTAGAGGTTTGATGATTTTGGAAAATACACAACCAAAGGCGATAATGAGAAAAGTTTTAATTAATTTAAAACAATTTTAGTACCAAGTGCTTATGACAAAGAATGTTATCACACCGCAAAAAATAACAAGTCCATACTGGTTCATTTGTTGTCGGTCGGTTGCGATACTTTCCAATAACCCGGAAATCGTAAAAAATACTTAAAAATACTTAGACACATCAGGAGCCGATCACATAAATACCTACAAATTTTTATGGTAACTTTGTCCCACTACATTTTGCCGCCGAGAGGGGCTACGCAGAAATGATCAAACTACTATTGAAAGTCGTAGCGGACGTGAAAGCTGTCAATGTCGGACGACGTAGAGCTTTGCATATGGCAGTTGCAACAGAATACAGTACAGTAATTTTTTACATTCATATCTTAATTCATTTATAGCCGTAGACCGTAATAAACTTTCAATTATAATTGTGAAAAAAGTTTTGTCAGAAATGCGCATTTTTTATCGCCATCCTGAAAGAGGATAATATTCTTTCCATGTAGCTATTAATTAAAATAACTGTTTTTTTCATATTTGTGTAAGCATTTTATGATGTGCGCTATGAAAGCTATTTTTAATACAAATGCCTTGAGATTATTTAATTTACTACACAGACCATAAACAATTCAATAACACTTGTATTATGATACGTTCGACCACATTAAATATGTTTCCTTTTAAGTATTAAATACTCATATCTAAGTCATAAAGATTTTAAAAAACTGATGCCTTAAGCATAACTGTAAGTATTGAAATGTAAAAAAGTTTTTCAATATTAAGATAAGAATTTTCAAAATACTTCAAATTTTTTAATCGAAGTAATTCCACGTTAAAAAATAAGAGTCAACTATTACGAATAGTTGTAACCTATAATACTGATGAGTACTAAACTTACAAAACATGTAAATCTCATGAGTCCAATTTTTAAACGAATCATGAGATCAAAGCAACACACATACACATACTATTGTTACACAAACAATACTTTCAAAACGATACTTTAACACACATTTTGTAATTTCATGTTTCTAGAGTGTTTTGTTAACTCATTTTTATCCCACTTTTTAATACTGGTCAAATTGTTCAAGTATCCGTGAATGTCCTTCAGATCCTCTGGAACTTGTAGATAAATCCTATCAAACTCTGGCAGCACTTCTTCACGAACCAATTTGAAAATGTTATAACTCCGACGAGTAATCATACCATCATAGAATTTCTGAGAAAAATAACACAAGTTTGTACAAAATTACATTTTTTTTTTAAACGAGCGCACATAAATTGACGAAAAAAAAAAAAATTACTTGCACGATTCATTTATGCATTGGATTGACAGAGAAAAAAAGGTGCAATTTCAACTGTAGGATTTTATTTAAAAATCCTTATCATAGTTTAATGTTGTATCAATATTTTGTCAGCAAATGTCATGCAGATAATACAATTACAAACTATGGAAAAAAAAATTAAAACGATTTTCATTGCATCCGGTGTGCAAAAAACGATTTTTTTTCGCTGTTTTTGTACATCTACTTTTCATTACAAAGCAATACAACAACTTTTCATTGTATGGCCGAACATGTAACGTGTACGTAAAAGAAGTTATCGCGAAAAAACTGTTTTTTTTTCCCTCGGATAAAAACCTTCATACCCGAAGTTACCTAAAAAATGTAAGCCTATTCGTATGATAATTTTGGCACTCTTATAAACAGGTAACGACTAAAAATTGAAAAAAAAAAAAAAAAAAAAAAAAAAAAAGGTTTCGCTACGAAGCTCTCACCTGCAAGTGACCGCCTCGCGGATTGATCCGAATGGCCTTCGAAAAATAAACCAGGGCATTCTTGACGTCTTTGCCCTTGAAAAAGTACTGCACGGCCACGTTCAACAGCAACAATTGCTGCAAATAAACGTCGTTCTCATACTTTCGGACCATACCCTTGAAGTAACCGACGCAGTCGAACTGCGGCAGCAGCTTCGCCATCATGTCGACGTACTGCATCTCCGCCTTACCATTGCCGCACTTGGCCGCCTCGTAAAAGTACGTGGACGCCAACTGAAAGACACACCCCAACTACTTATCCGTTTATCTTCAAAAACGTCAAACAATTCTCATACACATACATATATATGTACGTATATATATATATATATATATA